GTGTGTGTGTGTGTGTGTGTGTGTGTGTGTGTGTGTGTGTGTGTGAGAGAGAGAGCGAGAGAGAGAGAGAGAGAGAGAGAGAGAGAGTATATATGTATGTGTTTTCCTTCTTGGAAAATAATTTAGAGTTTTAGGTTTGCTTCTTGTGAAGCAGATTTTATTTCTCCTAATGTAATCCACCTGATGTATAGAACATACTGATAATTCAAGTCATGTAAATTCTGTATTTAATTTCTTGACCTGAGGGAAATTTCCAATTAGACAGTGTCCCCTGTCCAGAACAATTTATCATGTGTTAATATGCCATGGGATAGCAGTCAATGAATATTGGCTCCATTTTGTCTGTGGTCAATGAATCATTTCCTCAGCGCATCAGTTAATGAGGCCTTGTAAGAGTCAACTAGGTTTATCACAAAGTGCATCCTCTACCTCCAGCAAGCTGTAATTCAGAAGACTGCGTTAGTCTTACAGAGAACTTGGTCAGGGCTTAATGCAAAATAATTGCCAGCACTGAAAACATAAATGAAGACACACGTAGGTGAATTATAATAATGTATTACTACACCCTTTTTATAGATTTTGTTACCTGTTAGTGAAAGTTTAAATTCTCATTTTGTAAGCATCCAATCATCAGATAAAGCATTCCTACAGCACAATGAGTTTATTTGTATTTAAGATATTGTATTTGAATTGCTTCGGAATAGTTTTTTGTCTAGTTGTATGTTTTTGAGACAGGGTCTCACCTAGGATGGCCTTGAATTTGCAATGCTCCTGTCCAAGGCCTCTCAAATGCTGAGATTTTAGGCACATGCCATCATGCCCAGAAAATGTGGTCTCATATTTACATTTTGTGTGCATTTTCTGAACTATAGAAAATGCACATTAATTGTAATAAAATAATGATATTGTAACTATAAAACGCTATTTAAGAAAAGGTGGAAAGTGTTCCAAATGTCCTATCTTGGGTGCTAATAATCTTTTTATTAAGAGAGTTTGCTTGGATTTTTTTTATTGTACTTGCCTCTTAGGTATATTTGTAATCTAAAAAAAGAGACCATCATAGTTATCAGCTACTTTTTGGATTTTCAAATTAAATACATTGACAAATTACTAATCTCAATTTTTTTTGGGGGGGGGTCTGGTCGTGGGGCCTGAACTCTGGGCCTGGGCACTGTCTCATTTGGATATTCTTTAGGGGGCTTCTCTATCACTTAACGAAACAAACTCTGGTTATTTTATATTTCATGAACAAGCAAAAATAGACTAAAAATCTTTGCTGCTCTCTGATCTTTCATAAGCAATGAGTAGGAGCAGAGAACAGATAGACAAGAGAAGGATAACTGGGAAGAGGTGTTGCTGTGAGTGACTACAGTGTTTTATGACTAGTGTTGACATCGGGAGCCAATATGGTTATCTTTACGGCTCAAAATTCATTGCTGAATTGGCTTATGATCACTGTTCTTTCAAATGATTTAAGTTCTCCTAAGACAACCAGCATAATTAAAAAAACAATCTTCTCTAGTAACAGGTGAAAAGTACGTGAGTATTTAGCATGACTACCTCTCTAGCTATATCCAAGGCTATGTCTACAACTTATTATATTAAGAACTAAAACACATACACACACATACATATACACCAAAGTGTCAGAATTAGCTTTTACTTGGAATGTGTGTGTTTTACAAATCCTTAAAAAAAAAAGTTAGAATTACTTTTGCTCTCTTAGGAAATGTAAAAAAAAAAAAGTTCATAAATACTATTTCTGCCTGTTGAACCATAAGTAAGTGACTATATCAAAATTATTACCAAGTTTAATATCTTATTGTACATATTGTTTATAAATATTGTTTTTATTGGGTTATTATAGAAACGAGATGAGTCAAATTTTGCCCAGATGCTGGGTGCTGGTGGCTCACACCTGTAATCCTAGCTACTCAGGAGGCTGAGAGCTAATGATTGGGATTTGAAAAGGGCAAGTCCATGAGATTATCTCTAGTTAACCACCAAAAAAGATGGATATAGAGCTGTGGTTCAAGTGGCTTGAGCAAAAAAGCTAAGAGAATGCTCAGAGCCTTAGTTCAAGCCCCAGGACCAGTGCACATACACACACAAAAAATGGGGATAAAAAACAACAAAGAAGAGATTTAACAGAATTCTGTATTTGGGGGGCATTTTAAGGGACTTTCAAGGATAATTTTAACTATCGGTTTTTTGTTCATGTTTTTCCCCCTATGTGTTATTTTTGTCTTGCCTGCTGGCTGGTTGTTTAGTAAAATTAGCACATACTTGAAAGACCTGTTTAAATAGGTGGTTTTGCTGTATAACTTTAGTATGACCTTTCTAAGCCTCAGTTTGTAGTCTGAAATGGTGAAATACCTACCTTGTAGTATTAAGATTCCAGGGAGGTACGCGTGAGCATGATGTATAAGTTGTAAGATGGAATGTAAATGTAAGCAGTTGTATATGTTCCTGAGTGATACTGCTCTTGCTTATAATTTCCTCACTTCTCTTCATTCTTGAAGATAATTCTATTCTATATTACTTTTATATTAATAGAAATTTTAATTTCTGTTATATTGCTTTGGCCTATAAGACAATGAAAAAGGAAATGTTGACCTTGTTGTTAGACCTTGGGAAGCTGTAGTACATTGCTGGGCAATTTACCTTGTGGGCTGATCGAGCACCTGCAGGGAAAGACATGTTTTCAGCCAGCACTGCCAACTGAGTGAGCAGTGTGCTGCTCACACCTAAGGTCCTAGAACGACTGGGCATGAGGACCTTGCTGCACTGCTCCAGAGTCTCGGTAGAAAGGGGGAAATAGCTGACACTCTGCACCTCTCCACATCGCTCTCTTTATCCTTTTTATTTTGTTTCTGTCTATTCCTGGTTTTTATTCTCTAGAGAATGGACACAGTGGCTGAGAAGGTGGCTCAGTGGTAGAGTGCTTGCCTTGCATGAATGAGGCCCTGGGTTCCATTCCTCAGCACCACATAAGCAGAGAGAGCCACAAGTGGTGCTGTGGCTCTCGTGGTAGAGCGCTAGCCTTGAGCTGAAGAGCTGAGGGACAGCGCCCAGGCCCCAAATTCAGGCCCCACGACTGACCAAAAAAAAAAAAAAGCATATTCTTATCATTGAAGTGAGGCGCACTTTCTTTTGTAGTAAATAATCTGTCTTTGAATCTGCCAAGACAGCATTGCCATTGTGCTCTCTTGGTTAAGTGCTTTATGGATCCATTAATTTACCATTTATTAAGTGAGAATTGGGAAATCAAAATTCTCAGTGTTCTTCATATCATATCATAAATGACTCTTGGTTTTGCAAATGCCTGAACCTTGTCTCTATTCTCTTTGAAAGAGCAAATGGGTTTCCTAGGAAGGCAAATACAATACAGCTTTTGATAGCATTTTGTGTGAGGGATGAAAGAGGAGTGTTTTCCCAAGGCATTGTTCTTTTTTTTTAAATAAATATATTTTTTTATTGTGAAAATACTGTACAGAGGGGTTACAATTACATGGGCAAGATAATAAGTACATTTCTTTTTTTGGGGGGGGGGTCCAGTCATGGGGCCTGAACTCTGGGCCTAGGCGCTGTCCCTCAGCTCTTCAGCTCAAGGCTAGCGCTCTACCACTTGAGCCACAGTGCCACTTCCGGCTTTTTTTCTTTTTGCTTATGTGGTGCTGAGGAATCGAACCCAGGGCCTCGAGCATGCAAGGCAAGCGCTCTACCACTGACCCACCTTCCCAGCCCCATAATGAGTACATTTCTTATCAAGCATTGTAGCCTCCTCCTTTGTTTCCCCTTCCCATCCCTTCCCATCCTCCCCCTCCTTTCCTCCCTCCTCGTCCCCCCCACCAAAGTTGTAAAGTTCATTTTCGACATAACGACTTGTACATCTCATTGTTGCAATGGGTCCTCCTGTATCCATGTTTTAAGGATTTGTTTTTTCCTTCCCCTCCACATATACCAACATCATATATAGTGAAAGTAGGGATTATACCGTGGGGGAGGGACATACAAAGCAACAAAGACATAATCTTATAAATATGTTAGAAACAGTTGCATGAAAGATCTCTCTCTTTTATTTTTTGTCAGTCGTGGGGCTTGAGCGCTAGGCCTGGGAGCTGTCCCTGAGCAATTCAGCTCAAGGTTCATGCTCTACCACTTAAGCCATAGCGCAAGGCATTGTTCTTATGTCAGACTATTGGTTGTATAACTAATAAGTGTCCCAGGTGGTAGAAGCTAGCATGGATCATCTTTATGGACTGCATATCATTAGGAATATAATCAAATTTTACTTAGAAATGCATTTTTTGTTGATTAAATGCTTTCCAAGTGTTAAAATGAAAACCCTAGTACTGTAAAAAAAAAAAAAAAGTAATAAAAATTTAGAAATTTCAGAAAGTAGAAAAATCCAGCCATGCTCCAGTGGCTCACACCTGTAATCCCAGCTACTCAGAAGGCTGAGATCTGAGGATCATGCCGTTCAAGCCAGCCCAGGCATGAAAGTCTGTGAGATTCTTATCTTCAATAAACCACTCCGAAAATTGGAAGTAGCGCAGTGACTCAAGTGACTTCAGCCTTGAGCTGAAGAGCTGAGGGACAGTGCCTAGGCCCAGAGTTCAAGCCCCATGACCGACCAAAAAAAAAAAAATCAGTCAGCTATATTTGGTGAAACATGTAATTAACTCAGCTATAGTGTGATGGTGAAGCTTCTCTTTGGTAAGGCATGATATCAGTTGGCATTGATGATGTTGCTACTTGGAACTACTTTTCCAGGTTTGCATTGGTCAGTCTGGAGCAGTCAAGTCTTTGGGATGGTAAGTTTTGAAAAGAACTGCTCACAGCAGTAAGTTGTTCCAAATACAGATGCCTTTATCTGTGTGTGTGTGTGTGCATGTGTGGCATTACTAAGGCTTGAACTTAGGGTCTTGCACTCTCATTTGGCTTTTTTTGATCAAGGCTGATGCTCTACAGATCCACTTCCAGCTTTTTTGCTGGTTGTCTGCCCAGGCTGGCTTCAGACTGTGATTTCTTGGATTGTAGGCTCTTGAGTAGCTAGGATTATAGGCATAAATCACCAGTGCCCAGCTTCATCAATTAATTTTAAACTTGGTTTAATCCTGGCCCTAAACCAGCCCCAGCAGAAAAGACTCACATCTCCAACCATTAAAAATGCCTGACTGGAGTTGTGTCTAACGTAGTAGAGAACCAACAAGAAAGCTGAGTGACTGACAAGGGTGACAAGGGGAAAAAAAAGTAAAGCCAGGTGCTGGTGGCTCATGCCTATAATCCTAGCTGCTTGGGAGGCTGAGATCTGAGGAGTGCATTTCAAAGCCAGCCCAGGCAGGAAAGTCCTTGAGACTTATCTTCAGTAAACCACTCAGAAAACTGGAAGTGGTGCAATGGCTCAAATGGTAGAGCACTTGCCTTGAGCTGAACAGCTCAGGGACAGCGCCCAGGCCCAGAGTTCAAGCCCCATGATTGACAAGAGAGAGAGAGAGAAAGAGAGAAGAGAAAGAGAAAGGTGAGTGCATGAAGCTATGAGTTCAAGCCTCAGTACTGAGTGGCATGAAGGGGTGAGAATGAAAGCAAGAGCAATATAGAAAATGAGAGAAAAGAACAATTTCATGTCAGGACAGCTGACAAAATGAAACGACAGGGTGAGGCGTCTCCCTGTTGTTGTTGTACAGTACAGATGTTGAATTTAGCAGTAGTAGTCTCCATGCTCACACAAGGCAGCTGCTGCCTCATGAATAAGGATTTCAGCTCCCAAGCATACATCTCATTCTGCAAACCACTGAGGGCCTTGATTTCATTCAGGTCTGATGTTTCAGATCCTAAATCTTGGGTCTCCATCCCCTTTCCTTCTCTACTGTGTGTTTTCTTCTCCTTGTATTAGTTTTTTCTTTTCATTAGCTTGTTTTAGTTAAACAGGGTAAAGCGTGTCACATGCTACAATATTTTTCAGTAATTTTTACTCCCTCCATCACTCTCCCTTGTATTTTTTGTCTCCCTTTACCTCTGACGTTCTGGGGAAGCCTAAAATATTTTTCATGTTTATTCTTAATGTCTTTTTATTACTTTTTAAATTTATTATTATTATTGTTGTTATTTTGTCAGTTGTGGGGCTTGAACTAAGGGCCTGGGTACTGCTCCTGAGCTCTTCTGCTCAAGGCTAGTGCTCTACCACTTTGAGCCACAGCACCATTTCCATTTTTCTGGTGGATAATTGGAGACTAAGAGTTTCATGGACTTTCCTGCCTGGGCTCACTTCGAACTAGGATCCTCAGATCTCAGCCTTCTGAGTAGCTAGGGATTACAGGGGTGAGCCATCAGTGCCTGGCTCTTAGTGTCTTTTTAGAGTATATAACTTAGACCTAACTTGGAGATACAGTGGTGAACAAGATCAGAGTTGCACTGGCTTGTTGGGGCTTATAGTCTGGGTTTGAAAGAGAGAAAATTAAAAAATCAGAACTACCTGTACATTTATAATTCATAGTGTTTGACTCTTCAGAAAGAGGATATTGAAATGCTTCTAGTTTATCTGGAATACCCTGCTCTTGGTTTTCTGACCTCCTTGGCCACTCCTCTAACTTTTTTATACCTTTCCTGAGGCATCTTCCTTCCATTCAAATGCTGGAGTACCCTAGGCCTTCACCTTGAGTCCCTTTGATAATTACTTTTTTTTTTTTTGGTTGTTCGTGGGACTTGAACTCTGAGCCTGGGCGCTGTCCTTCAGCTCTTCAGCTCAAGGCTAGTGCTCTACCACTTGAGCCACAGCACCACTTCTAGTTTTCTGGTGGTTTATTGGAGATAAGAGTCTCCTGGACTTTCCTGCTCGGGCTGGCTTTGAACCTCCATCCTCAGCTCTCATCCTTCTGAGTACCTAGGATTACAGACGTGAGCCACCAGCATCTGGCTCTAACTACTTTTTTTTTTTGTCAGTCGTGGGGCTTGAACCCTGGGCCTGGGCGCTGTCCCTGCATTCCTCTCAGCTCAAGGCGAGCGTTATACAGCTTGAACCACAGCGCCACTTCCGGTTTTCTAGTGGTTTATTGGAGATAAGAGTCTCATGGACTTTCCTGCCCGGGCTGGCTTTGAACTGAGATCCTCAGATCTCAGCCTCCTGAGTAGCTAGGATTACAGGCGTGAGCCACTGGTGCCTGGCTGGCTCTAACTACTTTTTAAAAATGATATTAGCTGGTCCTGTGGCTTTCAATAATTCTTATTGGCATTTACATATTGGTGATGCTCAAATTTGTATCTATTGTATATTCCCTGTTCCTCACTAAACTCCTTAAAATTTTAATATCCCAAACACATTGCTTTCCATCTCACATATATCCAATAGATATGGGCAAAAATTTAAGTCTCCCTTTATTCTCCCCTTGCTATCGCAGTTTCTGTCTCATATATAAGCAGCATCTGTTGGCTTTACATCAAAATTATGTCCAACTCCCCCAGTTCCTTTTTTTGTCAGTCATGGGGCTTAGAACTCAGGTCCTGGGTGCTGTCCCTGAGCTGTTTGCTCAAGGCTAGCGCTCTACCACTTTAAGCCACAATGCCATCCCACTTCCAGTTTTCTGGTGGTTAATTGGAGATGAGTCTCATGGACTTTGATGCCTGGGCTGGCTTTCAACTGGGATCCTCAGATCTCAGCCTCCTGAGTAGCTAGACCTTTCCCTGGCTTTTCCCCCACTTATCAACTATTTGACCATTGCTGATTCAACTGAAAGACGCCTTCTCTCTGATCCTAAAATGGTGCTCAACACTTTCTTTCCCTTCCTATTTGTGACCTGTGTTGACAACACAAAGACCAAACTAATTGTGTGGTGTGTGTGTGTGTGTGTGTGTGTGTACGTACATGTGTGTGCTAGTTAATTGGAGATAAGAAGGTCCCTTTCCAAGCTGACTTTGAACCATGATCCTCTTATCTCAGCCTGCTGAGTAGCAAGGATTATATACAGTGAGCCACCAGCTCCCAGCTCAGACTAATCTTTTTAAAAGTCTCAAGTAAATAAGTGAAAAATCTTCCAATAAAGAAGTGCTGATTTCACATCTGGGGTGGGAACTGTGTAAGATGAATCCCAGAGGACAGAATACTAACGGAGTACAACAAACAAAGAAGGAACGCATAACCATAAATTTAAAATACTGCATGTAGGCAAGAACAGCAAGCTTCTTTGTGAAGGCTCTTTTGCAAAAATGAGGGAAGTGTGGTACTGGGAGTTTAAAAACAAAAATGAAATTATGACTAATATAATTCAAATAATAAGACAAATTGCTTTGAAATTATTTGTATATTTACACACACACACACACACACACACGCACACGTACACAGGTCGGTCTTGATGGGCTTTAAGAACTTCTTGAATCTACCAACAACAACAACAAAAAAAGGGACTGGGAAGTTGGCTCAGTGGTAGAGTGCTTGCCTCACATGCATGAGGCCTGGATTTGATTCCTCAGCACCACATAAGCAGAAAAAAGCTGGATATGGTGCTGTGGCTCAAGTGGCCGGGCACTAGCCTAGAGCTGAAGAGCTGAGGGACAGCGCCCAGGCCCAGAGTTCAGCTCCCAGAACCAGAAAAAAAAAAAAAAAGAGGACCAAAGCACATACCAATTAATACCACCACTTTGGTTAAATCATATTTTAAAAACCCTGTTTGGGGATAAGGGCATGGTTCAAATTAGAGTGCCCTTCCTAGCAGCACAAGTCCTGAGTTCATTATACACATAGGCAATACTGAACACACACATATACAACACTGTACATTTCCTGTTGCCAAAGCTTCTGAGAGTGGATTGTAAATATAATGCTTTATTATGTATCTTACAAAAACTAGGAACATTCTCCTGTATAAGTACAAGCTAGTACCACAACTGAAATCAACATGAGTTTAGTATTGCCATCCATGTATAATCCATATTCAAATTTCCCTGTGTGAACTGTTAGCTGTTATTTTTATCTTATGGTGCCAATTCTAAGGCTTGAATTCAGGGCCTGGGCGCTATCCCTGAGCTTCTGTGCTCAAGAATAACTCTCTATCACTTGAGCCACAGCTTCCCTTCTGGCTTTTTTGGTGGATAATTGGAGATAAGAGTTTCATGGATTTTCCTGCCTGGGCTGGCTTTGAACCACACTCCTCAGATCTCAGCCTCCTGAGTCACTAGGATTACAGGTGTGAACTACCAGCACCTAGCTAAAAATAATTATTGTTTTTGTGTGTGTGGGTCATGGGGCTTGAACTCAGGGTCTGGGCACTGTCCCTGAGCTGCTTTTGCTCAAGGCTAGCACTCTACCACTAATCCACAGCACCACTACTAGTTTTAAAGAAAAGATTACTGCAAACTTTTTTTTATGAGTCTTCAGTGCTTTGTCTTATAGAAGAAAATGACTATGCTTACTTTTCTTTGTGGTTTAGCTTCTTACATCCGTGTTTGACAACAGCATCAAGACCTTTGGAGTCATTGAGAGTGACCCTTTTGATTGGGAGAAGACTGGGACTGATGGCTCCCTGACCACCACCACCACCTCCACCACGCCTCAGTTACACACCCGCCTGACCCCTGCTGCCATCGGGTGCGGCCTGCACTCTTCATTCAGCACTGTGCTTCTTGCTCAGGCGGAGGGGGGGAGTATGTGCCACCCTCTGTTCCTGGGGCTCGAACTCAAGGCCCCATGCTCTTCCTTGGCTTTCTTGCTGGAGGCTTGTGCCTGTCATCCTTGCTAGAGTTGATGGAGATATCTTAGAAAATAGACCAGATGTGCCTGACTTCCAAAACAACTGTCACACCAATGAGTTATGGTGTTAGAATTTGAATTTTAAAATTTCAAAATTCTAAATTCTCAAAATTTTCTGAAGTTTTTATTGTAGAATTGGCATGACTTCTAACTTTCCAGAAAAGGTTTAACAGAAATACCTTTGCCAGGCACTGGTGGCTGGTGGCTATAAATCCTCACTACACAGGAGTCTAAGAGCTTGAGGATTGTAGTTCAAAGACAGCCAGAGCAGGAAAGGTCGTGAGAGTCTTATCTCCAAATACTAGCAAAAAGCTGGAAGTAGAGCTGTGGCTCAAGTGATAGAGAACTAGCCTTGAACAAAAAAGCTTGGGGGCCCTGGGAAAGCTCTGAGTTCAAGCGTCAGGACCTGCAATAAACAAAACAAAAAAACCTCTTGCCAGCGCTGGGGATTCATGCCTGTCATCCTCGCTACTCAGGAGGCTGAGATCTGAGGATCGTGGTTCAAAGCCAGCACAGCCACAAAAGTCCATAAGACTCTTATCTCCAACAAACCGCCAGAAAACTGGAAGTGGTGCTGTGGCTCAAGTGGTAGAGCGCTTGCCTTGAGCTGAAGAGCTGAGGGACAGCGCCCAGGCCCAAAGTTAAAGATTCACGACCAACGCCCCCTCAAAAAAAAAAAAACTCTTAATAAGTAATAAACAGATTTCCCTTAAATCTAGGAAGAAGTGTAGGGTAGTCTCAAACTAAGTTTTGATTCTCATCTTTTAATGTTGCATGGTTTGTCTTTCTTCTACTATCCCCTTTAGAATTGCCAATGCCACTCCCATCCCTGGAGACTTGCTTCGAGAAAATACAGATGAAGTATTTCCAGATGAACAGCTTAGTGATGGGGAGAATGGCATACCTGTTGGTGTATCACCAGATAAATTGCCTGGGTCTCTGGGCCACCCTGGTCCTCAGGAGAAGGATGTCTGGGAGGAGATGGATGCCAACAAGAACAAGATAAAGCTTGGAATCTGTAAGGTGTGCACTTCATGCAGATGAAGTCATATCTTTCCATGTACATACTTTTCTCATACTGTTAAAGTATATGATTTTCAGTTTTGAGTGTAAAGTAGATAATACATTGTATTGCTACTTATTTTAAATATGCCCCTTACCGAGACATACAAACCATTAACACTTGCTACTTAGGAAGAACTATATTAAGATGTCCTTTTGGGGGCTGAGGGTATGACTCAAGTTAGAGGGCTGTACCTAGTAAGTAGGCCCTGAGTTCAGTCTCCAGGACTGAAAACAAAACAAGTAGATAATTCAGCTGAATACACACATCTGCAATACCACACATTTCCTTTTCCAAAGCATCTGGGAATAGATTGTAAATAAGATGCTTCATTATGTAACCTCCACAAAATAGAAATATTATCCTATCCAAACAGTCTGACACTTGAGCCACACTTCCAGGCCTTTTTGCTTTTGTTACTCTTTGTATAGAGTCTTTTGTTCAGATCAGCCTGGACCACAATTCTCCTATTATGCTTTTTGGTTAGCTGGGATGGCAGGAGCACACTATCACATCCAGCTTTTTATTGTTGAGATGGAATCTCTAAAACGTTTGTACTGAGCCGGGTGCCCATGGCTCATGCCTGTAATCCTAGCTACTAAGGAGGCTGAGATCTGAGGATCATGGTTCAAATCTGTGAGACTCTGATCTCCAATAAACCACCAGAAAACTAGAAGTGGCACTGTGTCTCAAGTGGTGGACTACCTGCCTTGAGCTGAAGAGCTAAGGGACAGTGCCCAGGCCCAGAGTTCAAGCCCCATGACCAACAAAAAACAAAGTTGTTTTTTTTACTGAGAATGAACTTGAAATGTGATCTTCCCATTCTCCCAACTCCAGAGTGGCTGGCCTATCTTTTTCACATGTCTTAATATCATTTTCATATTTTTCTTCTCCTTGTAAAATTTTTTTTGACAATGTCTTCTATGTAATCTGAACAGCTAATTCTCTGAAAAGACATCCAATTATTTGTTTGTATTATTCTCAAAGTCTTCAGTGATGTTTCGCATGTATATTACCTGGAATGTTTTTCATTTGTGTTTCATTTTGTATTTCTCTAGGCTGCTACTGAAGAAGAGAACAGCCATGGTCACGCCAATGGTGTTCTCAATGCACCAAGCCTTGGTTCACCAATTCGTGTACGGTCAGAGATTACTCAGCCAGACAGGGATGTGCCATTGGTACGAAAGTTACGTTCCATCCACAGCTTTGAGCTAGAGAAACGCCTGACACTAGAGCCAAAGCCAGACACTGACAAGTTTCTGGAAACCTGGTACGATAAAGTCTTTCTTCCTTCTTTAAAGCTTCTAACATTATTACTGTGGTTGTCATTTCTAGTATGAAAGTCTTCCACACAAGAAATTGTTGCACTTTTGTAATGTAGACTTCATTAAGCTCTCATATTTTGTCCATGTTTCCAGTTATCCTCGGTTTTAATTTTTCTCATAATGATAACCCCTGGTATCATTGCACAGCTTTTGGCTATAAAAGTGCTAACTTCGTAGTGCTAGGTACAGTTAAAAAGAATTTTTTGATGGGCTCACACCTGTAATCCTAGCTACTCAGGAGGCTGAGATCTGAGGATCACAGTTCAAAGCCATCCCAGGCAGGAAAGTCCATGAGACTCTTTATCTCCAGTTAACCATCAGAAAACTGGAAGTGATGCTGTGGCTCAAGAGTTAGAGCGCTCACCTTGAGCTGAAGAGCACAGGGGTAGCGCCCAAGCCTAGCATTCAAGCCCCATGACCAACAACAACAAAAAATTTTGCAGACCTTATTTGTAAAGTGGTCTCTTCTAAACAATGTTGTAAAGTTTGAGAAGGCATGATAAGAATAGCATTAGGCAAAAAGTAAGGGAATACATGGAGAGAAAAGTAACCCATACACAAAAAGGTTTTCAATTTAGTGAGGAATTTATGAGGAAGGTACATTAGGGAAATACACAGCAACGTTTCTCATTCTATCCTCTAGATCTCAAAATCTACCCAGAAAGAGGGGAAGGCAAAACTTTTAGAGATATATGCATAAATACTGTGTGACTGTTTGTAGTGCATAGTCAATGAAGTGCATCTTCCCTATAACAAATGTTAGTAACCCATAACAAATGCTAGTAACAGAAGACAGAAATGGAACTTCAAGAAGAACTTGCAGTTTATTTGTGAATTATAGAAGACTTCCAAAGTATTAAGTCTTATACTTCTTTACTAGTAGCTATAGCCTACAGTGGTGTATTTCTGATGCCTTCTGTTGACAATGGAGGACCACAGGTTTGGTGGTCATAATAGGTACAGTGTCCCAAGACAGGTGACCACACCTGGCCTGGCTTCCTCCCTATTGTGCATTCCTCCACACATGGTTGGCATTCTGTCTTGTAACTATAAGATGTAAGCATGTTTACATCTTGGTATCATCATAAGAATGGACATTTGGAATTGTGATTAAGATGGGAATACAAAAGGGAAAAAAGCCTTAGTTTGGCAGAAAACTAACCTAACACACAAAGGGAGTTAAATAGGGTACCATGCTGAGAAAAGAGCTGGCCCCCACCTTCCTAAGCAGGATTATGGCAAGTTAAACATTGTTAGTCCGGTGCAGCTTGCTTTCTGCACTTGTCCATACTTTTTAAATTTGATCCTTTGTATATCTAGAACTTCTCAGTAGTGCTTATAGATTATAAGTTATGGAATAAATATTTCCCTAAGGCCATGAAATAACTTCTCTCCATTTCCTTAAGCTTGGAAAAAATGCAGAAAGATTCCAGTGCAGGAAAGGACTCTCTTCTCCCAGCTCTGCTTCATAAGCCTTGTGTTCCTGGTGTGCCCCGTGCTGATCACATCTGGCACTATGATGAAGAGTATCTTCCGGATGCCTCCAAGCCTGCCTCTGCCAACACCCCTGAGCAGGTGGATGGAGGCGGCAGCAATGGATTTATAGCTGTCAACCTGAGCTCTTGCAAGCAGGAGGTCGATTCCAAAGAGTGGGTGATTGTGGACAAGGAACAAGACCTTCAGGATTTCAGGATAAATGAGGCTTTAGGCCATAAAACAACTGGAAGCCCTTCTGATGAGGAGCCTGAAGTGCTTCAGGTTTTGGAGGAAACACCTCAAGAAGAAAAGCTCCAAGTCGGTCCTTGGGCGGAAAGTAATCCTTTAAGGAAGGAAACCTCAGGTGTGGTCTTAGTTCTTTCTGTGGATTGCCCCGCTGCTTCAGAACCATACACAGATAGGCTGGACCTCCAGACCGGAGCCGGTCAGTTCACTGCAGTGACACCCACGAGTCCCATGGAGGCACAAGCAGAAGGACCCCTCACGGCGGTAAGACATGGGTCTCTTCGTTATTCTCTGCCTTCTGCTCAAGGTGCAATTAAGAAAAGACTGACAGTTGATCAGCTAAGATCCTACAGTAGGGGCCTGATTTGGCAAACAGGGAAAGGAAGGAGAATGGGATAAATCCAACCTAAGTAGTTGTGGCTTGCTTATGATTTTTAGTACTAGTAAAAAATGTTAGTGCTACAAATTTTTGTAGTTGCAAACTCCAGTAAATGTAAGGGAAGAAAAAAGGAACTCATGCATTTTATTTACTTGAATCTTGAGACTTTGGATATTTTGTTTCATTCACTTTTGTCACAAAGACTGCCTCTCTCCCTTCACCTTCCTCTCCTCCCTATCCCTCACATAGGCTAAAGAACAAGATAATAATATCTTCAGCATTTGGAGTTTGTTGTAGGTTTGTTTTTGTTTGTTTTTTGGTTGGTCATGGGGCTTGAACTCTGGGCCTGGGCGCTGTCCCTGAACTCTTCAGCTCAAAGCAAGTGCTCTACCACTTGAGCCACAGCACCACTCCTGGTTTTCTGGTGGTTCATTGGAGGTAAGAGTTTCATGGAGGGGCTGGGAAAGTGGCTCAACAGTAGAGTGCTTGCCTTGCACGCATGAGGTTCGATTCCTCAGCACCACATAAGAAGAAAAAGCCAGAAGTGGTGCTGTGGCTCCAGTGGTAGAGCGCTAGCCTTGAGCTGAAGAGCTGAGGAACAGTGCCCAGGCCCAGAGTTCAGGCCCCACAACCGGCAAAAAAAA